CATCAGGTTTGGAAAGCAATAATACCTGCCCTTGGCATAGCAAAACAGGCACCCCCCCCTTGCAATTTCTTTGTTTCACTTCCCTTACTTCAGCATCCATTTCTCCAACAGAAACTAGGGAAACAGGGATCCCCAGATAACTTTGGAAGTTCATTTTCCCAGGTCATAGGTTCATAGATGTAGGGTCAGAGGGAACCTGAGCAGATCATCAATTCTGACACCCTGCCCTGGGCAGGAATGAATACTGGGCTCATATGACCCCTGATAAGTTTAAGCTCATATGACCTCAGCTAGGTAGTTATCAAGCCTCCTTTTAAAGACCCCTAAGGTCACTTCCCTTGGAAGCTGGTCCCCAATTTTAATTACTGTTCTGGTCCCCATGGAGTACACTTATACTTCTGGTTGAGAATATGGACTCCAGTTCTTGGAATAATGTAATGAATTCCACTTTGTAGGGGAAGAAAGACAGAAACAGGCATAAGCAAGAAGACCATTACCACACCAGGAGACAACAGTTGTAGATGCCTGGTCATACAAAATGGCAAGTTCCAAAGCAAAAACAGTGAATTTCCACACATGCTGGAAATGATGCACCATGGAATCATAGTATACATAAGATGCTGACTGATAGGAGTCAACGTGTAGCTCCTGTGGGCAATGTCCCAACCTAGAACTTGGCATGAAACAGCTATTACACAATACTGTATATTTGCCAGTTCATTTCTTTCTTTTTACCTGTTTTTCCCCAACAAGAGGACACGTAGAGCTCTCAGTGTCGAAAGTCCACTTATTTCCTCTATCTGATTATCGTATAAATCTAAGAAAACAAGATGCTGCAAATTAGAAATATTCTGGATGCGAGTTATAAAATTATGCTGGAAGTTCAAAAGACGAAGATGCTCTTCTCCATCAATAATTGGGCAAGCTGTCAGTTTTTGCCTGAAAAAATAAAAAACTTCAGTAACAATTTAATCCACAAGTGCAAATTAAGTGATTATATTTTCTTCATTCAAAAATAAAGTACCTAATTAAACAAAGCACACTTTACAAAGAATTAAATATATTTGTAAAAAATATTATACAAACAAGAATTCTATTTAAAAATATCCTGCAAGCATGTTTTATATTTCACTTTAATTTTGTTTTCCTTGTTTTTCTTGAATATTGTTTTCTACACTGATTAACAACATGTAGCAAAACAATCATTTAATTTACTTCAAACACTTGGAAATAAAGGATGGTAACAATGTTTCATATATTTGATATAAAATATATATATATTGAGTTGTTTGCATCTTCCAGACATTTAACAGCATTTAGTCACTGTTTACTACCTCAAATTAAATTTAATTTTTATTGAACTTCTCCTTTATAAAAATAAATAAATAGATGAAGACCATGTTAAAACATGAAAATGCTGTACGTAAAAGAAATATAAACTATAGGCCTTGATTATATCCCATCTAAAAATTCTTTCAAGCAATCCACAAAAAACTACCAACTCTATATACTCCAAAGGCTGGTAGCACAATCATCAGTGTTAGGACCTGGTGGCACTCTACTGTGCTACCGCTGCCATTGCCTAGCACTTCAGCTCCTTTAATTCTTCAGACAAATGATATTCAGAAAGTTAGCTGACTGTGCTATTAACATTAAAGAAGAAATCTTTTCATACAATCAAGAGAAACAATGAGCTCCAAGGAAGAAAGATGATCCTGGGGTCAGTACTTCGAAAGAAGACCGAGTTTAATTTCTGAATTTCCACAGACTTCCTATGTAATCTGGAGTAACACAGTTAACCTGTCAGGGCCATACCTTAGCACTACAATGGAAATGGTACTTCTCACCTTAAGAATACTGCAAAGGTAAATTCTGAGTAGAGTTCAGACATTATGGCGATAGTAGATGGCACAAATTAGGGCTCCTGAGCATTACAATAATTTACACCGTGTATTACTATTACTATATTTTGGGCATGTCAGAATTCAGATCATAAATACAACAGAAGCTAAAGTGCAAAAAAGTGTGCCCATTCAATTACAACCAAAACAATAGTAGCAAACATGACAAAAAAGTTGGCTTCCAAACTGAGACCACATATGGAATGGAATAATTGTAAACATTCTGACATCTTCATGGTCTATTCAGGTATGTGTACTATTCTGACACTGTTAACACAACCCAAGGCTCTTAAAATAGTCTATATTTTCCTTACGGAAAAAACATGATAGTTGCACTCACCCCATCAATATCCTATCAGAACACTGCTCACCTTTCAAGGGTTAGTCTGTCAGAGTTCAGTATTTTTTCTTCAGCAGTGCGTTGCAAAATGGGAAGTGCTGTTATTGATGAATTACTCCCAAAGTTTGTATTATCTATTGGAACATTAGAGTAGAAATTTCAAAATTTTAAATTACAAAATAAAGATGGAATATTTCTAGTTGTTAAAAATAAAGATATGGATTACATGCATGTACAGTGTGACCCCCATCACTGCACTTAACTGGCACCATCCAACATTTTATTAGAACATTCACACATCTTATCTGCTATTTTTAAATTTGTAACCATCCCACATATCCATTTTTTAGAAATATGCCAAAAAATGTTAATGAATTTAAGTAATTTCACACCAACTGACTTTGTAAGTTTGCTACATGATCAAGCACTCAGTGTCATTCAGACATCAGGCTACTGGCTGATTTGAGAGATTTAACTTCAATATCTGAAGTGTAAAGAACAGAGCCAGCCTTAGGGATGGGCAGCATGAGTAAGCCCCGTGACCAGGGTGCCCTGGGCAATGTCTTGGTCAGGGGGGTGTCAGCCGCATTATGCAGCCCTGCAAGGGAGGGGTGGCAAGTGCAGCTCTAGTATTACTGTTTAGTGGAGCCAAAATTAGGACACTCATTTAACTTTTCACTGGCCATGACCCTTGCAAGTGTGTGTCAATGTGCTGGAACACTCATTTTCATTTTCACTGGCTGTGAAACTTGGAAGGAAACAAAGCATCACAAGTACGTAAGAAGAGAGAGTCAGGAGTACAGAACAGGAAATTAAAAGCTCAGTTAATGACTGCAATTAAAAAATATGCAGACACAATGAAAGAAACAAAAACAAAAAATCTGAAATCTGTTAATGACAACAGTCACAACAGAAATGCCAGATGAAACACGCTTGTATGATCCACAATTCAACTTCCAAATCAACACAAGAGAAGGAAAGAAGCCAGAAATGAAACAGAAATTCTTCATCTGGACCAAAACAGTGATGATGCCACTAGTAATAGAGATGAAGCTATTCCTATTATAGGCACTGGCGATGCCATTTCTGGCCAAAAATTCTAGATCCGCTCAAGACCAATAGTTCATCAAAAGTAAGTTCATCAAGACCAATAGTTCATCAAAAAGGACATGGTTTTTCCTCTGGATGAACAGAATAGACATTTTTCTATGATGTTTTCATACAAAAATCTTGAAAATGGCAAAGTTCTGAAGCAGTGCTGGCTGCGTTTGACTCAGAGGCCACTAACAAGGTCTTCTGTTTCTGATGCAAGCTCTTGGACTTGAATCCAAAATCAGTCCTAGCATTTGAGGGGCTGAATGATTGGAAGCACGTCTGAGATTCCAGTGCATCATGAAAAGTCGCCTAGCAATTTCAGCTCCTGCCGAACATGGGTCAAAGCAGAGCAAAGGATAAAACAGAATAACTACACAATCTTCATGTTAATCTAGGGTTTAAACCAGCCCCACACACTCATTATAAAAAGTGTCAATTCAGTGATGAATGTGAAGATTTTGAAAGTCAAAAGTCCAGAAGTCAAGTTCAAAAATTAATTTTTCAGCCAGCTTACAGACATGGTGAGCATGTCCATGAAAGAACAGTTTGAACAAATGAATCATATGCAAATCTTTGGGGTTTTCTATATAATGTAATACAACTCCCAGACAAAGAAACTTTGAGGCAGCACTGTAAGGGCCTTCATTGTGAATTGACATCTGAAGAGAGCGGACCTTGACAGTGTGAACCCCTCCACATTTTGCAACCACTTCCGAACACATGGACAGCACTCAGGATCTGGTTAACCATGTCCATATAGGTGGTGAGCAGTGAATGGAGCTTCTTGAAGCTGAACCTCAAAAACATGTTTGCAATCGAGAGATGACAGGCTATCTTTGCTGGCCATTATATCTAGGGAATGTTGTAGCTCAAGACAGAGACCTGTCTCAAGCAATTTGAGAGTTAGCGGCAGCAAAGACATGCAGAGTTGCCTTCTGAGCCTTGGATTCTTAATGAACAAAGTTTAATTTGTTATTGTTATTTATTAGTTTAGTGTTTAATTTAATGTTTAGTATATTTGTCACAGCTATAAAGTTATATTTATGACATCATTTATTATTTGAATAAAATTGAATTTAATTGGACTGACTTGTGTCATTTCCTAGATTTTATAGACATTTGGGCTGGAAGGGACCCTGGAGGATGATTGAGTCCAGCCCCCTGCCCCAGGGACAGGAAGTCAGCAGGGATCATAGGATCCCAGTAAGATAAGCATCCAAGTGTGTCTTGAAGGCATTCAAAGTGGGTGCTTGAACCGCCTCTGGTGGCAGTTCATTCTAAACCTTGGGGGCTCGGACAGTGAAGAAATTCTTCCTTATCTCCAGCCTGAATAGGTCACGGTGGAGTTTGTCACCGTTCGATTTTGTCATCCCTTGGGGCACTCTGGTGAACAGACGTTCCCCCAGATCCTGATGAGTACCCCTGATAAACTTATAGGTGGCTATCATATCACCCCTGGGCCTGCGCTTTTCCAGGCTGAAGAGCCCCGTGACTCTCAGCCTCTCATCATAAGGTCTGTTTTCCTGACCTCTGATCATGCACGTGGCTCTCTTCTGCACCCTCTCAAGCTTCTTCCTCTTCCGTTTTCTTTAGTAAGTTATTTAGATTAAAAAAAAAAAAAAAAAACCTTT